CACTTCTCTGATTGCATTACAGCATTCGGGTGCTGGATTTGTGGAATTTAAGTAACTTGCACATGCGATTAACTTTGAAGCACAATCTGCCTGCTGCCCCTCCGCCGTTCTGGTGGTGATCACTAGCAGCGCCACTATGATCGCCGCCGTGGTGAAGGCAGATTTGGTGGAGGAAGTCATTTTCTGATCTGCGTTTTTTACTGGTGTTGGTCAGGGTCGGATATTTCTGCTCCTGTGTTAGTGATGTTCTTTGCTTTTTGGTAGGGTAGTATATGTATATTTATAGGCAGAATTTATTTCATTTAACGGTCTTGAAGTTCAAGAAAATTTTGAGTTGGTCACTGAAGTATATTTTTGACTCATTTAGTCACTAGAGTTAAAAAAATGTTACATAATTGGTTACTTCATCATCCTAATTAACGCCATGTCTGACTTATTAACTGTTAAACCTCCACTTATATTAACAATCATTAAGGCAATTGATCCCTTCCAACTAGTGTCCAATCGTGACATTTACTGTTGATTAATGATGAAAAAAAAGTTAGGATTAAAAGAAGTGATTTGAAATGATTTTGTGTTTTATTTGATGATACAATGATTATTAGTCGATGTTTTGATGTCAAGCTAAATAAGTAAATAATTATGTAATATTATTTGACTTCAATAACTTAATATGTGACAAAAAAATTTGTGACCGATTTGAAATTTCAATTGAACTTTTCAGTGTGATCATATGTGAAATCAACTCTTAAAAGGGTATGTGAATTTGTGACATTTGTTTATGAAGTTACTTATTTTAATTGGACAACCTGGAATGATTTGGAGTTGGTTGGACCGTGGGGGTATGATTAATATAAGAGAAAATTACATAAAACGACTTTTCAAATTCAAAATAATGTGTGAGATTTATTTAATCAAAAATCGGTAATAATTCAACTTAATAATAATAATAATATAAAATTAAATTAGTTTACCTACCCCACCCCCATACAATCCGCACTCCCAAACCTTCACATCATTTCCCACACTGACGGACACAAGGGGGGGCTGGGGTGGGCACGTGCCCCCCAACTTGCTTTGCTTAGCTT